CACCAATACCAGCGCCAGTATCACTACCAATACCTCCACGATTATCCATTGTGACCAATACCCATGCCTCTACCATTGTCATCAACCCCAGTATGAATAACTGCATTTATCACCAACACCATACTGTGCCACCACTGTCACTGATACTGCCACCCTCATCACCAACACAACATCACCACCTACTTCCACAACTCTATCATTACCAACTCTGACACCGGCAACACTAATAAGCATCACCAACAATACAGCCGTCATGATCAACACCAAATGACTGCCACCATCATCACCAACACTGCCACCATTATGACAAGCATTAGCGCTAGCACCAGCATTGCCAACATCACCATTATCCCCCACACTCACCCGTAGCACCACTACTGCAACACTCCACCATCACCACCAAACCAGTACCAACAACATTTTCATTACATCAACACCGACACCAACATCCTACCACAGGCATCACCCACACCCACACCCACACTCACACCCACACCCACACCCACACCCACACCAACACAAACACTAACACTGAAATTACCGGAGTCCTCTGCACTGATAATTATCCTATCACCAACCCCTCAAACTTCATCATCAATATCACCATTGGGTCCGCCATTTTTATCAGCGTCATCCCCACTCCATCATCCTCAATAATGCCACTGCTTCCTTGTGAGCAGCAGCAGCAGGGTCACCACCAACACCAGCATCACCAATACCAGCTTTTTTTAAAAAAATATATTTTATTGATTTCTTATAGAGAGGAAGGGAGAGGGATAGAGAGTCAGAAACATCGATGAGAGAGAAACATCGATCAACTGCCTCCTGCACACTCCCCACTGGGGATGCGCCCGCAACGAAGGTACATGCCCTTGACCGGAATCGAACCTGGGACCCTTGAGTACACAGGCCAACGCTCTATCCGCTGAGCCAAACCAGTCAGGGCACCAATACTAACTTTGACATACTGTCGTCACCACCATCACCATCACCAGAACCACTACCATCACTACCAACTCAGAGTTGTTTCCTATGAATTTGAAACATTTCCTGTCTCTGGCCTCTGTGCACTCTCCCTGGGTGTCCATAAGTCAGGTAGGGCCAGAAATAGTCTCAGGTTTCCAGGCTTTTTGTGGATCTTCAACACAGAGAAGTGGGGTGAGGAGGCTGAGATGCCAAGCTGAGCAGGAATCCTGACCCCACTCAAGCGGCCAGGCCCTTTGCCCCCCAAGGAGGGATCCTTGTCCAGATATTTCCTCCCCAGGGCAACCAGCCCCTCCCTCCCCCTACTCTGGGAGCACCAAGGGGCCCCTCCTTCCTTTCCCAGTCCCCATTCTGGCCCAACCACTGGCCACACTCACAGATATTGCAGGTGGGACAGGCCTGCAAATGCATCATCCTCAATCACCGAGAAGGAGTTGAATGTGAAGAGGCTGGTAAGGGAGCAAGAAAGAAAATTTTCCAGAATTGCTGTCCCCTATCTGACATTTTAACCTTGACCCCCACCCTCAGCCCACATGGGCATGGTTTCACACACACACACACACACACACACACACACACACACACAACACATATGCACATAGCCCCACACACATGTGCATGAACACCCACTCCCTTGAGCTCATTGTCAGCTCTGCTGGGCCCCACTCACAGCAGGTGCAGTGACGGCACCCTCAGGAAGCTGCCGGCCTTCAGCTGGGTAACGCCAATCCTGACGAGTGAGCTGGGGACATGGCGATTGTGGGTGAGGAGAAACCCACTCCAGTGCTCCACTCCCATCCCAGTCATCTCCTGCCGGGGACCTGGCATGCCACCATGGCCCAGGTGTCTCTCCCCTACGTCTTCGCAGGGAGACAGGCATTTGCTCGCCTCACTTGGCAAGGATCCTGGTGGCTCTCAGCCCACCCCCTGGCTATCCCTCCTCCCAGGCCCCTGGTGCTGATGCTGCCCTTTGGCATTTCCCTTCAACTCCCCTTCAAATCCATCAGCCCCCTTTTAGGCATCCCAACATCCTTTGCTGCCCATCTTCCAAGATCCTGACACCCTGTTTCCTTGGCACCCTACCCCCGACCTCTGGGGTACCAGGACTCCCATCCCCACCCGCAGGCCCCCAAAGGGCCTGACACTCACAGTGACAGCAGGGTCGGGGAGAAGCTCTCGGGCAGGTCCGGGGAGCCTTCACACAGGGCACTGTCTTTGGAGCAGGAGCAGCTCAGAGGACATTTTCCCTTTGGGGGTCTCCAGGCTGCCCCGGCCCCCACCTCAGCCAGCAGCAGCAGCAGCAGCCAAATGCCTGCCCCTCCCATGCCCCCTCACCCCGGCGGAGGCACCAGCTCCCCTCTGCCCACCCAGCTCTGCCCAGGCTTCGGCCACTACATCTCCCATGCCAGGCAACCCTCCATTCCGCCAGCTGGCACACTCTGCCCTGGCTTCTCTCTCTTCTTTCTGTTCTCTCTTTCAGTCTGTCTTTCTCCCTATATCTCTTTGGAGCCCAATTTTCTGTTTATTTCTATTTCCCTGTCCTTCTTCCTGTCTCTCTCTCTCTTTCTGTTCTTCTGACTCAGTGAGTTAGCCTATTTCTCTGCTCTGACTCTATTTCTGTCTTTTTCTTTTCTCTCTGTGTCTGTCTCTCAGTCTGTTGGCCTTTCTCTCTGTGTGGTGTGGTGATGGTGGTGGTGATGTGTGTGTGTGTGTGTGTGTGTGTGTGTGTGTGTGTTTCCCTCTGTCTGTCTTTATTTCTTGTCTCTCAACCCCCCTTTCCAGCTCTCTGTGTGTTCCTTCCCTCCTCCCACACTCCTCCCTGGGGGTTTGGGAAAGGGACACAATGGGCCCCGGGTGTGCCCAAAAAGCGGGGTAAGAATGAGGAGGGGGATCAGAGGCCATAGGAAGAGCCGCTCTGGGGAAGGGACTGGATAGCCCCGTGGGAGGGGAGGGGCCACCAAGGGCTGGAGCCTCCCTGGCCACTCCCAGGCAGCCTCCCTCTCCCTGCCCCGCCCAGATTCCCCACTCAGGGCGTGTGAGGAGGATGCCACCAGGGTGGGGACCAGATGGCTCTGCAGGTAGGAAGGTGAGGAGAGACCACTGAGGGCTGGCGTCACCCTAGTCACTCCCAGAGGGCCCCCTCCCCGGGCTTCAGGAGGGTGCAGTGGACTCTGTTGACAAGCTTGGAGGGGCCAGTTCAGGTCCAGCTGCTCCCTCTGGTGGCCATACTTGGCAGGGCACTGCTCAGCTCAAAATTAACCCCTTGAGTGTTCACCTCCTACTGGGGGTAGGGAGTTAACCCAGGAAAAAAATGATGATGCCACCCCCTTCTTCAGCGTTGGCTCTGCACCAGGCCCTGCCCTGAAGGCTGATCTATTAGCTCCTCCGACCTCTTCACAACCTTCTGAGGCTGATACTATTGCAGGGCTATCGTACAGAGGGACATGCTGAGGAGGGAAGTCCCGTAATTGGAGGTCTGCATTACCCGGAGAGGGCGGAGGCAGGACTGAGCCCAGGCGCCAGCTCCAGAGCCTCTCCGCATGCTCTTGCATTCTTTCTTTGGAGATCAGAACTCATGGGTAGTGGTTATTTTTATTTGGACTAAGCTTTTAGCAATTTGGATAGATTCTGTCCATTAAATAGGAAAAATAAATAAATGGCATTTGTTACCAAATCCCAAATAACAGTAATGATACTTACTGAGCACTTATGGTGTGCCTGTCTCTACATAAAATTACTCAGTCCTCACAACAACCCTGTGAGGTGTGTAATATTACTAGTTCTGACTTTACAGATAGGGAAACTGAGGCACAAGGAGTGTAAATGATTTGTTTCATGGCACTGGATAGATCTAAACCTAACCACTCCTCCTGCCAATGAGTAAACACACAACCTCTCTCCTCCTGCTGCACACATCCAGAAAACTTGGGGAACAAAGGGCTAAACGCTCAGGCAGGATCACATATATCTGGATTCCAGGCTCAGTTCTGTGTGGATTTAGGCAAATAAATCATTCAGCCTCCCTGATCCTCAGTTTTCCCAACTCTCAAATGGGACAATCATGCACCTATTTCCCAGGTGTGTAGAACATTGAGTGAGACAATAGAGGCGATGCCACTGTGCAGGGTGGGCATTGCCCAGTGGTTGGTGGGCTTGGGGTGGGCCCTGGACCTAAGTGCATACCTGCACCCAAACAGCTGTGTGATTTGAGCAAGGCCCTTAGGCCTTGGTTACCTCAGCTATAAAGGAGGGATATTAAAATTCCTTACAGGGCCTTTAAAAAGATAAAGGACTTAGTGCCAGGGTGCAGAGGAGGCACTCACAGCATGCCCAGCCCAGCAAGGACGATGATGATGGTCACTTATTGTGTGCCAGGCTTTGTTCTAAATGTTTTACATGGATCATTTCTTTCTTTTTTTTCCCCCTCAAATATATTTTATTGATTTTTTACAGAGAGGAAGGGAGAGGGAGAGGTTTAGAGAGTTAGAAACATCCTGCACACCTCCTACTGGGGATGTGCCCACAACCAAGGTACATGCCCTTGACTGGAATCGAACCTGGGACCCTTCAGTCCACAGGCTGACACTCTGTACACTGAGCCAAACCGGTTAGGGCTACACGGATCATTTCTGATAATCATTCCAACCTCCCTGTAAAGTGAATACTGTTATTATCTCCATTTTACAGAAGAAGAAACTGAGGCACAGAGAGGTTACATCATGTGCCCAGCATCACACAGCTAGGAAGTGGCTGAGCCACTCTAATCTGGAGCAGTGGCCCTAAGAGGGGAGGAAGCTAAGGATTGGCTAGAGCTGGCCAGGTGCCCCATCCAGCCTCACCCCCTTGCTCCCTGTCACCTCTCCCCAGTGCTGCATAAACATCAGGGTTATCATTAACCAGGAACTGCTGGTGACCCTGGGGTGCAGGCCCAGGGTCAGCAGAGGCTAAAGGCTCAGAAAGATGGGGATGAGGGAGCCTTTCGAAGCTCTGCAGGTCCTCTGAGGCTGTGTGCACACATGTATGTGTGTGCCAGGGCTATGCCAGTGCCGAGTGTGCCTATGCACACTTCCCCTGACTCTGTGTCCTGCAGAGCCTGAGGTCTGGGCCTGCTTCTGACCTTTGACTGAAAGGAAGCAGTTCCTGTCCTTAACCACCAGGGGGACCCCCGGAGAACTACCAGTAGCTCCACTTTGCTCAGCCGAGGTTTGCTCATCTCTAAAATGGGGTTAATAATGAGACAATGTCTGGCCAGAGACTTCTGAGCTTGGCCTGAGGCTACAGTCTGACCTCATTATTTCTCCATTTTATAGGATGGGAAGCTGAGGAACAGAGCGGTCAGATGGACTGCTCAAGTTCACACAACCAGGAATGGTAGAGTCTAGCCCTGAGCCCAGATTTCTCTGTCACCAGTGCCTTGTGAATTTGGCCTGCCTATGGGGACGCCAGCTGTGGTGTCCTCCAGGAGATCCGAGAGGCCACATGAGCTCAGGGAAGGGGAAGTTCAGGGTTAAATACGTCAACTCATGTTTGATGGTGTCAATGTGTGAACAAAAGCATGTAGGCCTATTATGTCTGTGACAGTGTGGCCAGCTGTGTGCTTGTTTGCCTGTGCATGAGGTTGTGCTCACAGGTGGTGTGTGTCTGTCTCTGTGGTTATGTGTAAGAGTGGCTGCTCGTCTAGCTGTGTCCTTGACAGTGTTTCTGCTTCTCTGTGTGCCAATGTAAATGTGTGTGTGTCTGTGGGCATGTGTACACAACTTTGTGGACTTCAGATCTCTGAGAGCTTATAGGCGTGCTGGCTGTGTGCCTATGTCTTTGAGTGTATTTCTGTGTGGCACGTGTGCATTGGTGTGTCAGGATGTCTTCATAAGAGTGTGTATCTTGCCCTGACCGGTTTGGCTCAGTGGATAGAGCGTCAGCCTGCGGACTGAAGGGTCCCGGGTTTGATTCTGGTCAAGGGCATGTACCTTGGTTGTGGGCATATCCCCAGTGGTGGCTGTGCAGGAGGCAGCTGATTGATGTTTCTCTCTCATTGATGTTTCTAACTCTCTATCCCACTCCCTTCCTCTCTGTAAAAAATCAATAAAGTATATTTTTTTTAAAAAGGGGAAAAAAAAGAAAGAAAGAATCCCTTGCCTAGTTAAAAAAAAAAAAAAGAGTGTGTATCTTTGTGACCGTTTGTAAGCAGGGCTAGGGTGGGCTGTGTCTTTGATTGTGCCTATGTACAGGTATACATCTGAATGAACATGGGTGAGCAAATGTGTTTGTCTTGGTGTTTTGTGACTGGTGTAAGAGGTGCTGGTTGTGTGTGTGTCTTTGGGTTTCTCTATGAGTGTGTTATTCTGTGTGTGTCTGCCTGTTTGTATGTACACGCATACATGTGTTTGTGTGCTTTTTTGCCTGTTTATCTGGGTCTGTGGGTTTCTCTGTGTGTGCGCACAGGCACATTCCTGAGGGACTAAACAGTCAGCAGTGATCAACACGTACACACACTGAAATGTCCCCCCAACAGTCCCGTGCTGCTTGTTGGCCGGGGCTCCGAAGAACACTGGAGTCTGGGTCAGTGGGATCCTCAACACTCAGGCTAGGTGGCCTTCGGCTCCATTTAAGCCCAATTCCCAGGGAACAGCACAGAAAATGATTGATACCCCTCAGTCCAGCTCAGAAGCTGTCTGAGACAGGCCTGAGGCATGTGCGTGTGCGTGTGCGTGTGCGTGTGCGTGTGCGTGTCTGCAATCCAGTCCTCTCTGCCAGGACCTCCTTTCTCCAGCTTTCCAAAACGTGGCTGTCTACTGTTCCTCTATCTGAGCGGAGAGAGTTAACTTAGCGGGCCAGGGCGGTCTGGGCTGGGGGCCGCCCCCTGGCCCCCCTCCAGCACCAGCTCCAGTTACAGCTGCTGGTTGGGGAGGGCATAACTGGGGTGGGGCTGGGAGGGGACATCGCTGGGGGCGGTGCATCCAGCTCTGGGCCAGGGGGTCCAAAGTGCTTGCCCGGTCACAGCCAGACTTGGGGGCCTGCTTCCAGCAGGGGACAGCCTGATTGGGGTGAGCGTCCCCTACCCCTCCCCTCCCCGCCTCACCCCTCGCCTAGCTGGGCAGCCTATTTTGGGAGCAGGAGTGGCCAGTCCCTGGCTTCCCAGGCAGGCCAAACCTAAGAGAAATGCAGTATGTTTGGGACACTGGCTTGTCCCGGGGGTGGGACTATGGGTGCCACTTCTCCCTTCCTTGCTGTTGCCCCCTGGCTGGTGTGGGTTATGGACATTTATGTGTGTACGTTGGGTTGCGTCACTGTTTGGGTGCACTGGAGGCCTAGATGAGGAGTAATATATGCCTGACTGTGTCTCCACCCCATATCCTTCTCCAACTGGAAGTGTAGGGGTACCGGACGGGTGCTGTATCCATTTCAGCCCCAGTGTGTGTGTGTGTGTGTGTGTGTGTGTGTGTGTGTGTGTGTGTGCGCGCGCACTCCTCTGCCCCTGGCATCTGTCTTTGACCTCATGTCACTTGCCTGGTGTTGTCCACTTGTGAAAGATGTCACCCAGAGGTGGGTGGAGGGGATATTTTTCCCTTTTCTCATTGTTTCCAGAAGAGGAGAAGAGGTGGCCTTTTCCCCAGCAGGATTGTGCCTGACCCCAAGGAGGGGAAGGAAGGCTGTTGCCATGGTGGCCTGTACAAGGCAAATTCCTCCAGAGTGAAGTAGGAGATATTTATACCCAGGGTCAGGCAGAGAGCGGCTGTCAGGGCCAGGGCAGCAGAGCTGGGATATTTCGGACACAGCACGGCCATGGTGGACAGATGGGCCCTTGGCATTGTTTGTCCCTTGCAGTGTATATGTCTGTCCATCTGGGTGGAGTGAGGCCTCCCGCTCCACTGGAGTGGGTGGGGAAATCTGCAGCCTGCTGTGGGGATGCCCAGCCTGCAGGAGATCCCCGTGGGCAGTGTGTGTTTCACCCCCATCCTTGTGGCCATGTGACCCCATTTTGTGGGTTGATTTGGTGACACTATGTCCTGTGAAGCAGGGGGTGCCCCTGTTACTCAAGGTGCATGCCAAATGCTTTTGGAATTAAGTCCCTCTCTGACTTAACCCCTTGGGTTCAGGCCCCAGCGGTAGGGGAACAAGGGTACACATTTCCTAACTCTTGGTGTCTCCCAGGACAATGGCATCTCTCGACCACATCTTGGTTCTCTGTGTGAGTCTCCTGGCCATGGCTAGAGCAGGTGAGCCTGGGGAGACAGCCCACTACCCACCTCAGACCCAGGGTGGCAGGAGTTGGGGAAACCCTGCTAGAGAACCAATTTGGAGACTCCAACCTAAGCTGAGTCAGTTGGGGCACTGGGAAAGTGGGGGTCTCACATGGGGTCCAGTAACAGCTAGTACGTGGGGGAGGAGGGAGGGTGCCCAGGTCAGGCAAAGGGTGGGGAGGTGGCTGGCTTCCCCAGGGTGATGGGATCAGAGACAACCTGTAATGAGATGGGAGCGGGAACAGTTAGGTGCGTCCTACCCCACCCAGGGCAGTGCAGAGAAGGTAGCTAAGACCCAGAGAGGGCGGGTAGCTTGCTCAGGGTCCAACTGTTCCCCAACTCTCAGCCCAGGAAGGTAGAGCCCCCAGAAGGGTCTGTTTATGCCCTTCCTTGTCCAAGGAGCCCAGGAAGCATCCAAGCCCTGATTTCTCTTTCTCTTTCCAGAAGCTCCACAGGAACATGACCCATTCACCTACGGTGAGGGAGGGGGAGCATCTGTCTTTGGGAATTGGGGTAGGGGGGCTGGGTTTGCCTGTCTTGTCCTCATATTCTCTCTCTCTCTCTCTCTCTTTCTGTGTGCCTCTGTCTCTCTATTTGATCCCTCTCTGTTTCTCTGCTTCTCTTTCACCTTTTACTTCTCAGTATCTTGCGGCCCATCCTCTGCTGCTTCCTGCCCTTTCTCCTCTCCCTGTCCCCCTCATCCTCTCCACCATCCTTCCGGCTCCCTTGTTCCCTACTCCTCCCTGCACTGCCCACCTCCTTCCCTTCCTTCACTCTCCTCTTCCTGATCCATCGCCTCCGTCCTCCCATATCTGCTCCTTTCTGATTGATCTTCTTTCTCCTCTCCTCCTACCCATCCTTCCTCCTTGCTCCCTCCTCCCCATTTTGCCCTTCTCTTATCCTTCTTCCTCCCCTCCCTGGCCTCACCCTCCTCCCTGCTGCCCATAGACTATCAATCCCTGAGGGTCGGAGGCCTCATCATCGCCGGGGTCCTCTTCATTCTGGGAATTCTCATCGTCTTCAGTGAGTACCCCCACTGCCTCCAGCCCGGTTCGCCCGCCTTACACCCAAGTCACCCTCGCTAGCAGCCCCGGAGCCACAGTGGCCCTCGGTGCCCGCCTCGAGCGGACTCTCAGCCCTGTCTTCCCCCCGCACCCTACCCACAGGCAGAAAGTGCCGGTGCAAATTCAACCAGCAGCAGAGGTAAGAGGCCCTCCCAGCGCTCGCTCACATGCTCCCGCTCTACGGGGGCTCTGAGGGCGAAGCGGAAGCCCTCCCAACCCACAGCCAGAGACCCGTCAGCAAATCTGTACCAAGCACCTACTAGGTGCCACGCCGCAACCCGGGTCCTGGGACCAAGCAATGAATTCCCTGCCCTCCCTGCCCGGCTGAGCTCCCAGCTCCGGGGCGGCGGCTGGAGGTGCCAAGTGCTCCCCAAATAAAAAGTCAGGAGCGCGGGGCGCGCTGCGAACGCGCCACGGAGGAGTGAGATCACCGCTTGGCGGCCCAGTTTAGCTCAGTCTTGTTGCTCGCTCTTTGATTCGTCGTTAAATAAGATTGTAAATCCCAGACAATGCGTAAGAGCAAGTACCTTCTCCATGTTAAAACAGTTACAGATGTTATTATAAATAATAGCCGGGGCTCACTGGGCGTGTCCCACGTGCCAGAGGCCGTTGCGTTGTATCTTATTCACCCTCCGCGCCACCCCTCCGAGTAGCTGCTGTGTTAACCTCGTTTTACAGGGAAGAAAACCGAGGCACGGGGGTAAAATCACTCGCCCGAGATCATCCAGCTGGATGAGGCCATCTCGAGGCAGTCTGCCCTCAATCCCTTTGGTCGCCCGCCCCCACCCACTCCCAGTCCTTTCCCCGGAGGTACTCACTGGTGCCCGCAGGAGCGCCTCCCGGGGGCCCCTGAATTCGGTCGGAGCCCAAGCCTGCTCCTTGCCCACCGCGGCCTCAGGGCACACGGGTCTGCGGAACGAGGGCTGCCTCTGAGGGATCTGGGAGTGGCCGCCCGCTTTTCCCATTCCCAGTTCCTCTGCTTCTCTGTTCCAGGACTGGGGAACCTGACGAAGAGGAGGGAGCTTTCCGCAGCTCCATCCGCCGTGAGTGTGGGGAGACTTCGGGTGTTTGGGGGTGAGGGTTGGTTCCAAGAACCGCATTCCTGGCCCTCCCCGGGCGTGTGGAGGATGGGATTGATCTCAAACTGGAGGGCGGGGAATTTCTCTGCCGCTCCCCACTCCACAGGGACCGGGGTACCCTCCTGACACCCGAACTCTGTGTTCCCCTCAGGTCTGTCCAGCCGCAGGCGGTAGAGACACCTGGCGCCATGGAACCCAGCCAGGTCTTGCAGCTCGGTCTA